CACAACTACAGAAAAAGAATAGACACTACATACTACATAATTGGGGCTGAAAAGGGGAATAGAATAATTCTGTAAGCATCATTCACGGGAGGCCCAAGATACATGTACCACGGGGCTGAAAAGGGGAATAGAATAATTTTATCAACATCATTTACGGGAGGCCCAAGATACATGTACCACAACTATAGACAAAAAATATACTCTAAATAGAGGTGAAAGAGAGAATCTGTTTGAACCTAGCAAATTACTTTTTAATTATATTATTAATAAAAAGCATATTTTAATTAATTGTAACAATTTTTTCTTTCTTTGAAAACAATTGCAATAGCTTATCCATTACAGTAATAATTAATGTCTTCGTATTAATGACTTTATCTGTTCTTATTTAATAATAAAAATAAATAAATAAATTACCAAAGTCGTGCATCCGTACTTTATTTATATTTATATATATAGGGTCGGGATCCATGTGAGAACCACCTTTATGTGAGAACCTTCATCTATATGAGAACCAATACCAGCCATTAGATTATATAAAATTCAACGGCCGAGATTAAAATACAAAGCTGAATAATAAAACCACTGCACACTTAACTGCTTCAACTTTCTCAATTATTCTCTCTGCACAACGAAGCTCCGTAATTATCAGTGGCGACTGATTAATCAATTTGAAGGCTTGACAATTTTGACTTCATCTTCTTCTTTACAAGTACGAATAACTTCGATTAAAGAATTTGAAGGCTCGATAATTATCAAGGTTTGTTCAACTTTTTAATTTTGATTTTACTGCTCTGAAAATTTTGAATTGCATCAATTATTAAGGTTTCATCAATTATTGAAATTTTTTGAATTTCATGAATACAACAAAAAACTTGATAGTGATTCTAATGATCTCAGATTAAACTTATCATCAAAAATTAAGAAATAATATTCGATTTTAGTAATTGAGAATTTTTTATTGTTCAGATAATTTTCGATTCTATTGCATTGAATTGCATGTTATTTTTGAATTTTTGTTAAGATTTTCATATTCATGTCTTGAAATTTCCAATTTAATACTCTTACAATGTTCTTATTATGTTCTTATTTCCAAATGATGTTATTATGCTCCTATGTTATTATGTTCTTATTTGCAATCAAATTTAAAATGAGCAAATAAATTGAAAATGAGCAAACCTAAATATGTGTAATAATATAGAAAAAATATAATGAGCAAACATAATTAAAATGAGAAAATACAAAAAAAAAAAAAAAACAAAGCAAAAATAAAAATGAGCAAATCAGCAAAATAAGTTGTGTTCCATGTTCATGTTTAGTCTTGAATTTACTTTTGATTTATTATCAAATTCCAAAGTTGTGTTGTTGTGGTATTATCGTATTCAGTTTGGGATTTCAAGATAGTTTTCCGGCCGTTGATTTCGATAATTGGGTATAGAGCTGTACTGGGATTGTCTGATTATGTGATCAACAATGTTGCCTTTGTCTTTGCTGCACTATCTTTATGCAGGTATCTCTTCCTTGATTAATTCATCTTTATTAGCTAAACATAGATAAATGATGGCATTATTAGCTTACTATTACTATAATGATGCAAAGTATGGCGTAAATCGTAGTTTGAATTCATCTTCTTCAAGGGCATTTTGGCTTATGAGTACACTCCAATACAATATAATGGTATAATATCATCTGGTCATTTTCAAGGTTCGCGTTTGTAAGACACTTAATTATAAGTGTTATTTGTCTTTGTACACCTTGATTGACTTGTAACTCTTCATTGACACAAAATGCATCTCTGCGTGCATCTATCTTGTTTAGCTTCAATCCAGCTTCGATATTTTACTCATCGATGTACAACTTTTTTCCTTTGCTTAATTTTGTAATTTATTGAACAATTTTACATATTTTGTGAGTTTTGAGTATGACTTTATTTCTTGATATGTAGCTATTCAGAAAGCTTGTATGCTCTACTATCAATTGGCGGTATGTATCTTTATTTTTTGTAATGTTCCCGTTCTATTGTTTGCTCTCTCTGGCTGTGCAAGGTCGAACGGAGTGCTTAATGGTGGATATAATGGTTTTAAGGCCCTACACCAGTCTTATTATGCCATGTATGTGAAGAAGCGTGCTAATGTAAGTACTGTTAATTTGCATCATGTCTAATGTCTCATTGTTGCAGGATTCGAGAGTTTAAGATGTTATGCCCTAATAACCTTTTATTTTCATGGAATTCAGTTGGGTCTACAAGTTCTTTTAGCAGGAGCATTGCGGTGTATATGCATCTTCATTCCCTTCCTTGCATTTCAAGCTTATGGCTATTATAATGTCTGTCATGGACGCAATCCAGATGAAATGAGGCCTTGGTGCAAAGCAAAGATTCCTTTGTTATATGGTTTTATCCAGAGTCATTATTGGTATGCAATCTCTCTTTGCCAACAATTTTCACTGATAGTGCAGTCAACCTATGCTTTGTTGTTCCATTATGTTGGATCTTGGATGATTTTTTAATTGTATTCCACATTGTTTATTATTATGGGGTCATCATCAGTATGTATGTGTGATCCACTGAACAACTATAATGATGCCATGACATATGGAGCTATATTACAGACTTTCTTTGGCGAGTTACCCATGTTATGTTTTGCCTAAGGATTCACCTCAAGCTTCAAAATTTCCGAAAAGTGCTCATATTTATAAAAATGTGATCCGAGAGGACTGGAAGTATGGGACTAATTCATGGATTGACTGCCTTTGACAGTTATAGTCATTACATGGTAGAAGTTTAATAAGGTCATAGGCATGTAGTTTATCTTTCCCACCTTAATTGTCTTGAATCGTTCCTTGTTTCAGGGGTGTTGGCCTTTTGCAGTATTTCCAATATAAGCAGCTGCCAAATTTTCTGCTTGCATTTCCTGTGCTATCTTTGGCATTTTGATTAATTATTTCTTACTTGAAAGCTGATCCAAAGAACTTCTTTTCACTTGGTTTTGGAGCTACATTAAAAAAAAAAAAAAAATTATTTGCACATTTTTGCTCATTTGATAAATGCTCATTTGACAAATGATCAAAAATTTGCTCATAAAAAATGTGTTGTGTTACATGTGTATATGTAGGGGCTTGCAAGAGAGTCTGAGTTTAGGTCAGTAAGGGTCAAGTGTGTTCATGTGCTGTGTGTGTATCGTGTAGATGTTGCGGCTATTGGGCTATTTTGGTATGCGTGTGAGGCTGCAAGAAGTTTGCTCTAATGTGGCTGCACTTTGGGCAGCGAGTGCAAATGCTATAGGAGGACTGTAGAGTGTTAAATGAGTGTGTTAAGTGCAAATAGGTGGTTGGTTGTTGCGCCTGTTTGATGAGTTGCCTAGTTTGTAAAGTTGTGTGTTGCATACATAAAACAATTGACATAACAATAAGATATGATTTAGTAATTTATAATAACCAAAAAGAAAAGAACAAGTAAAAAGTAAAAGTGAATGAGCTAAAGATTAGAACATAGGAATTGAAGAAAGTTTAGAACATGAGAATAAAAAATTAGAACATTGGGTTAAGTGTTTCGTCCAAGATCTTGGGAGAGCTTGTGGTGCCATGAGGTGTTGGGGTGTCGACTTTGGTTTGAATTTCAGGCTTATTGCCTTGCCTCCTCTCCTAACTTTAGGAAAGCTCAAAGTATAAGAATAAAATTTATAACATAAAGAAAGCTCACAGTATAAGAATAAAATTTAGAACATAGAAAATGATTTAAAACATATGATAAAACCTATTAGCTCAATTGGTAGAGCACTATGCAAATGCATAGGGGATGTAGGTTCAATTCCTACATAGGTTATCTTTATAAGAAAAATTAATTAAAAAAAATCAAAAATCAAATTCGTACTAAATTATATGAGCAAAAAAATGGTTTGAAATGATTTATAACTATAAACACTTTGTTACAATTAAACTCTCATACAAACTTGTGTCTCCACATTATATAAATGAACATACGTGGGATTTGAACCCACATCTTTTGTGCATTTGCACAATGCTCTACCCTTGAGCTAGTAGGCTAATGTATTTAAAACATTCAAACACACTCACAAATAAGCAAATAATTGTTTGCTCATTTTTGCTCATTTGATAAATGAGCAAAAAAGTATTTGCTCATTTGATAAATGAGCAAACAATTATTTGCACATTTTTGCTCATTTGTAAAATGAGCAAATAATTTGTTGCTCATTTGTCAAATGAGCAAACATTTCTTTAATCATTTATTAAATGAGAAAACATTAATTTTCTCATTTGTCAAATGAGCAAATAATTAGTTATATGGAAAATGAGCAAATATTTCTTTGATCATTTGGGAAATAAGCAAATAGTTAGAAGCCCACCTGATGAGCAGCAACTACATATGAACCCATAGACTTAGAAAAATATATAAGTAGACCGTAGAAGCCCACCTGACACGAAATAGGATAGCTTACATAAACTGCAGTAAACATTTTACATTGACCATGAGAATCAAGATTAACAAAATCAGCCCCACCTTTCCTGCCAAAATTTTGGATTCTCCTAGTTTAAGCAAGTGTTGCTAATACAGAGAATGAATGCAACAAACTTTATGAGATCTAAATGAACTTTTGACCTGAAAAAATCAAGGATCACAACAGAAAGGTAAAAGTACAAACACCCACAACAGCTCCCCTGTTGAAACTACCTATCTGGTTGTGCCTAACCTCGCTCAAGTTGTTGACCGACTAATTTTACAAGATCTATTGTAGTCCATATACTTCAGATCACACACAAGCAAAAAGGAATAACCGAACAAAAGTCTTCAGCAAGAACTTCAAATTATTACTTGATAATTGCACAACACATCTAAATCACACTAGCTCACCATGTATTACAGCAATATATGACTACAAGTTCACCAAGAATACCAAAATCTACACCAGTTGCAAAGGAAGATTTACAGGGGAGACAAGCAAGTGAGAGACATCATAGTTGGTTAACTAAAATAGACTACAGGGTCCAAATCAAATAGTTATTGCCATAAGATTATCTTTATTCACCGAAACAAAGTACACAAAGTCATATAACATAAACATACCCCATGTCAATGTGCTAATAATAGGTTTCACAAATAAAAACACGGGCATTTTCAAGAAACTCATCCCTTAGTGGAATATTAGTATAATTGCCTTCTTCAACTCGTTTTCCAGGCCACGGATCATTTAGTATGACCTGAAAATCAAAAAGAGCAGAAAGTAAGAAGTGCCAACATTACATAAATAAGAGCAATGAGCAGTCCCAAAACAAGTTAAGTCAAATAATGCTTGTATATCAAAATTTGAAACAATGTTTATAACTACTACATCAAGCTATGGTGAACATGGACGTGAACACGAAAACTCAAGTTCAGACTAGTACTCCATTATTGTGCTCATGAAGAAATCTAAGATCACAGCAAAAATTATAACACAAGGGCCAAAAGCATTAACAAACATGCAAAATTCATTACATACCATCTTCTGAAACTTATGCTTAGACGTGCAAAAATAGGAAGAGAGAGGGAGGGAGGAGAATTGAGAAAAAGAAATTGAAAAAATCCCCAAAGGAATGTGCAGCATAAGAGCAAAAATTTAAGTCCAAGAGTAAGAAGAAAATTACTTCTTCGAATTCCCTCTAACTTCTGTTGTGCCTCCTAAAAGTAATAGTTAACATAAAAGTCCCCCCCCCCCCAATTTAAACAAAATCCCAGATCTTAATTGTTTTCAAATCACAAAAGAATACAACTACTCTCAACAACCCCCAATTTGAACTATATACACACTTCAAAAGTTCAGATCATCTACACAACAAACTTAAGCAACAAAATTATAGCCTCAATAAATTTCTTGCAATAATACTTAGATTTAGAGCTCTGAAATATTCACATTCAGATCCAACACCAGAAAACAAAAACACAAAAACAAAAATGAAAGAAATCTGAAAAAAATAATTCAGTGAGGCATTTCGTCGAATACCTTGTCAGCAGTCACAATTCTCAGCTTCTTTGCGTACAACATCAAGAACATAATCAATCAATCACCCATATCACAAAAAGATTCAAACAACCAAATTCAATAAATTCACAATCAAATTAATAAAATTGAAAAACAAAGATAAAAAGAGAAACCTCCATAATTCTTCAACAGTAGAGAAAGTATAAATGGGTCGAATAGATCTACCCCAAGTAGCTTGTTTCGATTTAGCAGTAAGATTATCCAACAAAAAAGTCCAAGCATTCTCAAGAGGATGAGTTGTTGCGATTGATTTGCTGGGTTTTTCGGCGTTTGAGTTGTCGTTGATAATCTCGCCTTCCTCCAAATCATCATCGTCTTTTCTCTGGTCTTCAATCTCAGTTGCCGCCATTGATTTCTCAAGCTCTTGTACTGCCATAGTTTTGCTTCTCTCTCTAATCGTTGGATGAACTTGAACGAGGAGAGAGAAAATTGTGCGTGAAAGAGAAGGAGGAGAGAGGAAAAACGCATTTGACCGGGATTAATTATGATCGTTGGATGTAATTGATCCAACGGTTATAATGAGTCCTCACATATAAAAGGGTTATAAGGGATGTGGTCTCATATGATCCCATTTCTGTATATATATATATACATATATATATACATATATATATATATATAAATATATATATATATATACATATACATATATATATATACATATACATATATATATATATACATATACATATATATATATGTATATGTATATATATATATATATATATATATATATATATATATATATATATATATATATATATATATATACACATACACACACACACACATATATATAAAGTAGACATTTTTGAATAGCATTTGGAGCACCACATAAGTAAGGATATTATTTCGACCAATTAAAAATTAGATTTCTATTTTATTTTAGAATTAAATAAATCATTTGCCACCTAAGCAAAATTAACGAATGAAATTTGAGAGTTTAAATTCATTAATCTCATAATTATATTAGATATAAATTCTATATAATATATTTGTTTTCTCTTTTAAGTTTTTTACATTACCTATTTATCATGGTTTCGTATAAAAGAAATTTTTTTATTGCTATAGTTATATAATTATTTCATTCATAGATCATATATCTAATTTATTTTATAATATAAAAATAACACAACTTAAACAAAATATTTTATATGGAAGCTACAATATGTTATATACTATACAACTTAATATGGAACTACAGTACAATATGTTATAAATCCTACAATAGTATAACTTATGTATGCCTTATGTCTTTTATTTGATATGTTGGCATGATTTACAAAAAATAAATAAAAAATAAAAGTTGGTTAGAAAAAATATAATAAAAATAGTTAATAACTTTTGTATGATAAGATTTTTGAAAAGATATAATATACTACTCCAACTCATAATATTTATATAAATGATAAATATAGATAGCTTTTCTATGATAAGAGAAAAACAAAAAAACCTCGTACGTTTATCATAGAATCATTGTACTTGCAGTTGACATATCATACAAAATCACATCAAAAAATTTCGCATCAGTTTTAGGTCATCAATGGTTGGGTATTGTTAGTTTAATTTTTAATACATATTTAAGTTTATGCTTGCAATTGATTTTCTAATTATTATACTTTTTTTAACAGATCAGATTAATTAGAGAAGGTATTTTTGTAAGTTCATTTACAATATAATTTATAAGGTTTGGATTCGATTTTCTTAATTTAGCTTATATTGTTATTATTTTTTTTAATTTTTTTTTAATTATAGGGTGATTACATTCATGCAATCATGCACAATTAAAACAGATCCAGACATTACTATCAAACCTATTGGACATCAATGGTATTGGAGTGCGCCTCTTCACGAAGGTGTTTTAAGAGAAAAATGCATTAAAGTGGAATATAGTTCGCAAAGCATATGGCTTATTATTGGAAATCTCCCACTCCCATCGCCGAGAGACTTTTCTAACTATAGCATGTCGAAGAAATAATTGAGGTGGTTAGACCTATACCCTGAAATGCTCTTAACATAGAGGGAAAACTCTGTTCAATTAGATACATTTAATTAAAATAACGTGCATCCCATGGGCCGGGTTTCATAATAATATTAGGATTTATATGTACTGTTACAATTTTTAGATTAATTCCGTAATATTGTTTTCACTTCTGGTATATTTGCCTTTTACTTTTTAATATAAAAATATAAATTTATTTTACATAAACGTGTTTAGATTTATTATTTATCAATTTTATTCCTATTTTTATGTGTATTTTTGTAATGTTTTTATTCTATTTAGTGGACAATGAGCTTAACTAAATCTTTGGAATATTGTTACTGATAGAAAAAAACCCTAAGCATTTGTCATTGTTATGTCAACCATTGTAACACTTAAAAACGGAGGAAGTTTTTTTTTTTTTTTTTTTTTACTATTTTATGCTAATTATATGTTTAAAAACGGACAAATTATTCAAAATAATTTATTCATGTCGTTCTAACCCTTTTGTAATCTTGGAGTTCCAAAAATTGATAGTTTAAATAAATTTTTAAAAAAATATTATCTTTTTTATTAGATATTTTATCATAATAAAAAGAGATTTGCAATTTCTTTTATAATAAAAAAATTCATTTGTCACATAAGCAAAATAAACGAATACATCTATACTAAAACCTCCTTATTCCCCGCCCCCCCCCCCCCCCTTCCCAAAAAAAAAAATAATAAAAAAAAACTCCTTATCTTTTCATTTTTCTAAAATAGGAGACATAAAAATCAAAATGAAATAAATATATATATATATATATATATATATATATATATATATATATATATATATATATATATATATAAAGAATATTCTACACACTCCATCTTCCTTGTTATTATCATGATTTAATTTGATCTTTAATTTATATTGATTGTCCATTTAGATAGCCTTTATATTTCTTGAAAGATAATTAGAAGTATGACCCGCATCGTTCTTATATGTATATATGGAGTACATTTTTTAATTTCGAATGTGTGTATAATATTAATTTTATTTCATGATTATATCTTCTTTTAATTATGATGATTAAGATTCTTATACAGAGTATAAAATCTTGAAAATAAAATTACCGAGTTTTATTATATTGTTATGTATGATTTTATTAATTTTAACATACCAATTGTGTCCTTTTTTTTTCTATTCTAATAATTTTATCCAAAAAATAGCGAAAAATAATGGTAAAGATCAATATGTTATAAGAACCGTGCATCGCACAGGCTTACATTTAGTTTAGTATAAAAATATGAGAAGGGAAAAAAAACTATATAGTGAACACAAAGATCTGATCCTTAAACCACTAATTATAGAAATGCAAAAATTAAATAATATACTTAATTAACTTTAATAGTGGTACATTGCGCTAAGTTACTTTAGTGGTACATAACAATACGTGTCATTTACGGTAGAATTTTCGCATTCCCAGGCCATAAGACACAAATTGTTGCGCCAACGAAGTCATCGGATCTGATCTCTCACATCGTTTTGTTGATTAATATGTCATTACTCGTCTCTTGAATTGGTACATCGATGTTTTTTTTTTTTTTTTTTTTTTTTTTTTTTTTTTTTTTTTTTTATTGAATTGGTACATCGATGTTTAGTTAGTAGATACTTATAAGTTGATCGTGTAGTGAGAAGTGTGGTTTATTAGCGATTTTCATCTTCAATTCCATTCCGAAAATGATTAGTATGCATGTTTTCTTTTTGACTAGTGTTGAATTAAGCCACACCATTGCATTGGACATACCACATACTTGATCAATATTATAAGTCAAATGACATCCTATTTAATTACTTAGCCCTGTTCACTTTATCTTAAAAAAAAAAATATTTAGCAAAAATAATTTCAGTTCAGTAAAAATAATATAAGTTCAGTTAAACAATTTCAATTCATTAAGAATCAATAATTTTAAAGAAGAAATATTATAGAATCAGTAAAAATAGTTCAAGTAAAATTAAGGAAAATTTGCCAATTGCAACCATTTAAAGTTTGTATTTTGTAAATTGCAGCCATTTAAAAAAAATTGCAAATTGCAGCCAAAAAGTTCTTATAAATTGTAAATTGCAACCCAATTCAACTTTTTTATCGGTTTGCGTGTTAAAAATAATCGTTTAACGTTTTAAGAGCCATTTTAGTTCTTAAGGTCCGAATTGAGCTCGATATTAGCAAAAGAATAACGTAAGTGTCTCGTTTTACGTAACAAAAATGTATCGATTTGTGGGCAACTATGTTTTGCTGTAACCATAACCGAACATTTTTCGACATGCAAACCGATGAAAAAATTGAATTAGGTTGCAATTTACAATTTATAACAAATTTTGGGCTGTAATTTGCAATTTTTTTTAGGGTAATTTGAATTTTAGTACCTCAAAATTGGGGGTAATTGAATTTTAGTACCCATCTAATTTTTTTTTTTAAAATTAGTACCTCCAAACTGACAAAAGTATAGGTTTCAGTACCTCCGTTACTATTCCGTCTGATTTGCCGTTTGTGGGCCCCATGTCAACGGCTAGTTTGTTACTTCCCTTTTTTTAAACCACGATTTTCTTCGTTTTTTGCCCATTTTTGCTGCTGTTTATAGTGAAGAATCAAAATTTGTGGGATAGAAATTCAATTAGACTTAGGGTTCTTGTTAATTGCTTAATTGCGAAGCTGTTGGGAGGATTGTTCACGCATTTGCTGAAGATTTGGTTGGCTGAAAAAAAAAGGTCAGTTTGTTCATAATTTTGTATACGAATTGTTATATTTGAAGTTGATTTGAGTAGAATTGTGTTGTATTTGTGGTTCATATGATATTGACATTGTAGTTTGTACTGCCAATTGTGTGTTTATTTGAATAATGTTGATGTAATTTGTATTTTGATGCTGTAGAAAAGTTAGGGTTCTTTAATTTGGTTAAATTGGGGATTTTTGGTGTTATTGAAATTAATGTTGCATGTGTGTCATATTTCTAAAATTGGGGTTTTTTTGTTGCATATGTGTATTTTTATTTGCAGAATGGCTGAGGATAGAGTGGTTTTTGTTTCGGGGTTTTCTGATGTCCTGCGGGAGAGTTACAATTCCGAGACTGGGACCGGACGCCTGTACCTGCAAAACAACGGAGACTCCTGGTGGTGGGAGCTCCGCCTCCAACGGTCAAGTTAGTACTTGATTAAGGAGTAATTAATGCGGAAATTAAAGTGATTGGGTCTCTCTAGGTGAGAGTGTTTAATGTGAGTTTTTAGCGTAATCAGCATGTAATTCCTGTCCTCCCCCCTTAATGAGGATTAAGGAAGGTATTTATAACCTTGGGAAACGTGCCAATCCTAGGTTTAGGTTAACCTAGGGCTGATTGGGCTTCCCTCGGAAGTTGGGCCTGGGTGGTCGGTTTCTCCATTAGGCATGGAGTATGCCACGTGTCATGACATAATAGGTCCAAGGTGGACGAATAAGCGCGTGCCACGTGGC